ATATATATATATATATGTATATATTTCCGCCATGTGGAGCATCTTGGGAATACTTTGTGTTTGGTTAAATGGCTTACTTTTAAACAAACAAAAACTACTGATGTATCCCTTAATGAGATAAAAGCCTGCACAATATTGGTTTCTGGATACTTTTGTGAATAAAGAAAAGCCAAGTGCATATCCATGGTGTATGTTGTTGCTTTTAAAATTGTGCCAAAGGTCAAAGCCCCAGTGCCTGATCGAGGAGACGACATGAGAGTCATCAGCTCTTATCTGCAAGATACTAACTCTATATTTGCATGTCAGTATCCTCTCTACTCACTAGATACAAAATTCCTTTTACTTTATTTAATTAGCTTCATGTTGCAAGGAGAAAAAGTATCTATTCATATAGATTGCAAAAGGTGAAACCTGCATATGAGCACACCACTAATTAAAGATGTCTATGAAACATAAGAACACGCACATTACATTATATATATAATATACATGTACAACCTATATTAAAAACCTATACAAAACCTATATAAAATATATATATATATAAACCTCATGATAGATATTTCTATTTCTCATCCAGATTTCCACTTGCTCTCTCCTTCCAGGCACATGCCCCATTGAAATCAGACATGGCCATGTGACTTGCTATGGCCAATTAAATATGAACAGAAATGACGTATGTCACCTCCAAGTGGAAGCACGTAGAGGCAGTTTGTAATACCCCCTGCTCTCTTCTCCCTCAGGGCAGACCCTGACGTTGAGTGTTTGATGACTGTTATAAGACGGTAGAGTCTCATCAGCCTAGGCCCCTGAGTGTAGGAGATTGCAGATATTGCCCCAAATTCTTCCTTTCCCTGAACCCATAAGCTCTGACTCTGGGCTCAGCTGGACGGACTTGTCATCAAATCTCTCCATCTGCCATCAAGAAACTAAAATGACCTCTGAACAGAAGCAATTAAGACCATTAAACAATCCAAATTAGCACATAAAAGTGTACAGGTGAGTCTCTGTTCTCATTATCACAAGCATATTTCAGTTCTTAAGCTCAGTATTTTTTTCAATACTCTAAGTTAACAAATTATGATGATTAATCAACATACCAGCAAGGAATTTATTGTTCAGTGAAGTGTGAAGGACTTTGAATTCACTGTAAAGATGATAATAAGGAAAGCTGGACACATCCTAGCCTACTCTAATACACTTTAAAGACCAAAGATTTAATTTTTGACTTGGACTTTTTAATGGTTTTATTGTATTTTTTTTAACAGTCCTTTTTGTATAGTAACCTACACTACCTAGCAATCAACAAGCTCAAAAAAAAAATGATGTGTCACTATGAGAGGTTAGTTCCAATTAGTTATTTCTACAAATCGACAACATTTTGGTGGCACTCAAGAATTACATTAAAATGTGTGTGTGTATGCACACTTGCACACACATACATAAAGACATATAAAGAAAAGCAATCATTTATAATAGGTTATACCACATTCATTCCATGCTCATCACGACTCTTTTCCAAAAGCAGCCAATAGTCATTATCCAAAGATGTGCAAAACAGGAAAACTGGACAGTGTACCTACATGGCTTTTCCAGGTAAATAGCATGCAGCAAAACATCGACTTAAAAATCATGAGAAAGAAGAACCATAAGGTCTTAGAAGCCAGATTTCAGTTGCGTCATTTCTAGATACCAAAAAGAAACCAAGACACTATTTACATACAAATATATATACTTCAGCACTGAATATATATTCTGAATAGAATCTTCAAGAAAGCAATCAGAGATACCACATAACTCTTAAGACATTTGAAAGGACCAAAACAGCACGAAATCAGGGCTTCCATTTTCTAGATTATAGTTTCAGAATATCATTCCTAAATGCATTGCTGAGGTCTCTCACAGAGGCAACAATCCCACTTCTCTATTTTCAGGAGCAGAAATAAACCAAAATGTCCTCATAAAAGTAACATCACATATACATATAGTGTAAGTAACTAATTTCTATCCATCAGGCAATTCACTGAAGAATATCTGAATTGATCCACGTAAAGCAATATAAAACATTGACATCATGCAATCATAAAATAGCATTAATGTTAAGTATACGAATTCTTAATTATGATGAATGCATAGGTGGAGATCCTATTTGATACCTGAAGCAGGCTGTGACAAGGTAAGCTGGGCACCCTGCGCCCTGGGAGTGCAAAGCCTACCTGAGATGAGTGAAACAGTGTCTTTCTCCCATGAGATGACAGTGATGTACGCCTCCACCGAGGAGGGGATAATGCACTTGAAGACCGCGACATTGCCTCTCATGGTTTTCTGGTCCTCCACACGGACTGTATAGGGCTCCCGTAAAACTGGAAGGCAAGAAGAGGACCCTCGGTAACATACATAGTCAACGGGCTCATTCTCAGAGCATCTCATTGGAATATATACGTTGTATCTTACACATATTATTTGCATCAGATATATTTATTGGAAAAAATTTTAAGAAACCTGCATTTTATGTCTTAAAAACTTTCATTCCATTAACAATCAACTACACTATATACTAAAGAGTATAACTCAAATAGTTCCTCTACCCCCCAAATGCATCTGGAAGTGGGAAGTAGCTTCTTAAAAGAAGTTATGATGATGGAAAACTGCTCTCCATGTCCTCTGAAGATTAAGGAAGAATTTTCTCACTATAAAGAAAAAGAATTAAAAAATTCAAGAAAGGCAACTTCTCCTGGGAATCCTTGAAAACTATGTAACAATTAAAATAACACTTCATAAGTAAATTTTTTTTATGACAGTTGCAAAGTGGTTTTGGAAGCAAATATTCTACTTCTCATCACTTAGGGAAGGATGCTGATTTAGGAATCTGCCCAAATACCCTCAACAACAGGAGCAGTCCAGAAAGCACCCAGAAGGGACTTCCACAAACTAGATATCTAGGCTAGAGGCAGGGTGGTACTGGGGTTACTTGACCATCCTGCAAACCCAACTGCCTGGGTTCAAATCCCAGCCCTACCCATTTAGGCAGTGAGCAAGTTCTCTTGCCATCTGTGTAATGAGAATTTTGATGATCATATCTACCACATAGGGTGATTGTGATTGCTCACTCAGTTAATGCAGATAAAGCACTCATGAGCAGGTTAGGTAAGGTTACAGGTACCAACAGCCAGAGTTCGATCTACACCATCCCTTGATGGGCAGAAGACCTCTGTCTCCAGGATAAGGAGACATCGGTGTGTCTAATTCAAGTTCTGCCTCCCTCCAGCTCTGTAAATATGGGTGTAAGCCTTACTTCTCCAAAGCTTTATTTTCTTCACATTTAAAATGAGAAGAGTGAGAGAGGAAGATCTTCAAGGTCTGAATTCTGTAAGTCTATGATTTTCTAAGACATCCACAGAGAAAACTTATCATCTAATCAGCTCTCTTAAAGTTTAGTCACTTACTGGACAAATATGTCAAGAAAACTGGCCATAAAATTAATTTCAAAAGAAATTAACATACTAGCAAAGACAGGAGTGAGTTTCTAAAGGGAAGTCTTCTAATAGACAGAGGAAAATAATGCTCCAGAAGAAGCATTTTTAAGATTGGTGTTGGCTCTATGATAGGCTGAGTATTTTAGTATTAGAGTATGTCATTATTAAGAGTAGTAATAAGAGTATTGCTCTCCAGTCCCCATTTTTAACATTGGTATTTAATGTTTCCTCTACTTGGAGAATTTTTTCATGCCTATCTCAAATCAGAGAGATTTTCAGATGTTTGGGAATCTTCTGAGATCCCCATCCCTGCACTCCACGTGCTGGCTGATGTGATGTTCCAGATGGCAATTCAGAGCCTCCTGAAGGAAGTCCACTAGACAGTCAGTCAGGGTGCCCAAGAGCCTGACCTCAGAAACATCATTGTTATACACAGTGGCGGAAATTGACTTTGTACAGGAAAACACCTCGATAAATAACCCTTTGTGGAGAGTGAGGTCTATGATCATAGGTTGGAAAGAGACAGATAAACTAATGAAATGCATTAAGGAATGAGAATGTGGGCATGGTGGAGAGTAGAAGACAGAGAACAGGAAAAGGGGAAGAGAGTAGAAGAGAAGGGGCCACTGGACAGCATGGTGGAGGCTGCAGAGTGAGTCCATTATCACAGCGACTGGGCCAGCTGAGCAGGTATGAGTCCAATTTAAGTTTGTGTGTCTGTGTGATGTTTGTGTCTAAGTTATAAAATCACTCCACCTCCCCAAACCTTCAGTAAACAAACAGCTCTGGTCGGGGAATTTTAATAAGAATCAAAGAAAGGGAGACAAGTCTCGCCTCACAGCCAGGAAAGAGCAGGAACAAGAGAAAATGCCCACATGGAGACAGAGGAAGTGCCTTCCCACCAAGCAGGCAGTCATGCACCAGCCCTGGTGAAGGGAGCCACAAACAGAGGGTGACCAACTGGGACTTGCTCTGTTAGCACCCAAAGTCCGGCATCAAGGGAACCCCTCAGTTCCGGGCAGCCATACACACACCATGGAGTGCCCTCTCCCCATCAGCTGCCCGCTGGCCTCCCCAGGACCAGGACCACTGCGGTAGTCACAGTTTAAAATCTCTGTGACTTTTGCTCCTCGCCATCTCCCAAGCCAGCCCCATGGAGCCCAGATCTTCTTGAAGCAGGGACACAACTAAAATGTACTGAACCACATTGAGTTCAGAGAAAATGGGTTGTGGAAGGAAATTCTCCACTCCCTCACTAGATTATTCACTCTGCATGCATCCAGCCTTTAAAAAAATTATCTTAGCATTTCTAATGATGCTTGGCACATAGTAGGTAGTCAATAAATATTTGGAGAATGAATAAATAGAAACACAGGGCTTCCCTTTTGAGAGTACTTCTAATCCTATTGTAGAATATACATGTATCTACATTTGAATTTATAGCCACTAGCTGTTGTTTAAAAGAGCAACTTGGGTTTTCATTGGAGATCTCTATCTCATTAACAGAGAAATGCTTATTCCTGAGGGGCCCACAATTTCAAAAGCCAACACTGCTATCTATTGATTTATACTTCTCACGGTACAATATAAGTCTCCCGGGGTCATTGAAAGCCTCCCAAGAGACTTGCGTAGATTTGGTCTTCATTCTGCACCCAACTACTACTAATCATTGTAACAGAGACTGGGTTAGAAACCTAAGATACAGGCAAACACTAATGGTTATTTTAAATGTGATTGGCATTTGCACTACAAGATAGTGTTACCTAAGTATCACGCTGTGTGTACTAGGTTGGGGTCTCCCCAGAAGCAGACCCTGAGATGAGGAGTTGGGTCCAAGTGATTGATTAAGGACATGACCACAGGAGAAGCAGTGAGAGGCTGAGGGAAGTGGGGCAGGGAAGAGGAAGCAGCCAAGCCAGAGTGTGATTTCAGGGGAGTCCCAACCTCCACTTGATCCTGAGGGGAACTGCTTCCACTGTATGTCCAGGAGCTGGGACTCTATCTTCTTAGAGCAGTCTTTATCTGGAGGGGGCTGGTCCCAGGGGCACAGCATTCCCAAGCACTTCTACTCTCTGTGTGAAGCTGCTCTAGGGCACAAGCAATCCTCTGAAGGCTGCAGGTCCAAGTTCTTAGCACTCAGCATAGATGCTGGATGATCTGACTCAAGGGCTGCTCGCAGTGTCCACTACAGCCGTTGTAGTCCTCCTTAGTCAAATCTACAAGCTTTGAAACCGTTCCAGAAGAGGTAACGTGATAAGGGGATCAGAAGAGAGAATCTACAGTGATGTGAATTTGGGGCAAAATCAGCGTATGTGCTGAGGTGGGGATGACACAGCTGATGGGCAATGGTAGTATCCATCCCTCCCAGTCAGCCATCATCCTTTCAAACGAAAAAAATCCTTTAAAATGTAAATATTAGTAAAGAAGAAATGGCCTCATTTCACATTTTACTATGAAAATTAATTTAACCAAATCAGGCCAACCATATAATTTGTGGGGACCAGAGCAACTTGAAAATCCAGGGCCCTTTATTTAAAATGGAGGGGAAAAGTGCCACTAAAGACACTAAAATATAAAACTTTTTCTTTCTTCTGTGGTCTTTCTCTCTACTTGTCGTGGTGTTTTTTATTTGCTACTTAATGTCACACTCCCTAGGGTGCAAGAATAATCACTGAGAAAGTGCAGAGCCTCACGGGCTCCCTGGACCACACTCCACTGGGCATACATAGCCCACCAGCTGCAGGGTCCCCTCCTGCCAGTCTCTAGGCTGATGCACCATGCCCCAGCCAGGGATGATAAAGGCAATCTGCTCTTCTCGTATGCCCATTGCCCCAACTCACAGTGGGCGGGCAACCTCGAAGGGATTGCAACCTCCACGCCTGGACGCTCTTTGTCTCTGGATGGGAGGTGGACATGAGGCTTGCCCCCAACAAGTTACTGGCTAAATGTCCTGTGGCGCTGCTAGCTTGGAGCTGGGATGGCCTCCACTGTGCCTCACTTCAGAGTGTGTGCAGCCGCTCCCACCCACACCCCACCCAGGCCCCCACCAGGATGGAGGGCGGCAGTGGTTGCTGGACAGGGGCAGGGAGGAGGAGGCCAGGCAGGGCCAGAGCACCAGGGATCAGAGAGGACAAGAGTGGTCACTTGGTGGAGTTAGGGAGGTGGAGGCTAAGTGGGGCTCTGGGCACCAGAAGACTGGGGGGAGGGCGGCTAAGAACCCATCACGGGAAGGTGGAATGGAGCAGAACCCTGCAGGAGCTGAGGTACCAGGTCCCCAGAGCATGTCCCACTGTCCTGTTGCACTTCACTTACAAAACACAAAAGGGAAGCTAAAAGCATTAATATTTCAAGATGGCAACAGGAGAGCATTAAGCCTGAGCCCAGGGCCCTTCTCAGCACTGCACTGGTCCCATCCCATGAAGTCGGTCCTGATCCGAATTCTGTCTATGCGGCAACCAGAGGATGGGGGAGGATGGGATGGAGGAGAGTGAGGAGAAAGTCTGGAAAACTGGGTGTTGTGGAGAAGGAGGGTCTGGGTGGCCCTTCCTCTCCTGATAGAGTAGGTTCAGATTGTTCCTAACACCCCTGATTGCTATGTCCAAAGTGATAAAACATAAACAAATGCCCACATGTTGGATTTCTCTGGAACCCCAGAGGACTTGGGGCAGGGAGGAAGATTTATGCTTGTTGTCCTTCCTGTTTGGAAAATGGTGATCTGAGGCACAATGTGACCTTGAGGCCCATCAGTTTTACAGAAATTTGTTTTTTTCATTCTATTTTATTTTGTAGCTGATTGCTTAAATAATTGAGAGATGTTTAAATAATCAGGACATCTTGAACACACTCTGAGGTCAAGCACTGTCTCAGGAACTACGGAGATCCTCATA